AAAAGTTGCACATCACTGATTTGCAGAACTCAGTGTTTGTTATGTGCATTTATTTAGGGTCATACTGAGTGATAGCATGATTTCCTTTCAAACAGGAATTTACTGCATCTAGAGCATGTGCAAGGTGCCCATTGACCATGTGGTGTGCTGAATAAGACCATCTTGAATAAGAAAGGGGTTTTGTTTGTCTTTTTGTTGTTACCTCTTTTATTTTTAAAGCTAATTTAAAGACTAAGCAGCCTCGCCTGCATGTTCTTTTTAGTGTTACTTCCAAAGCAATTCCTATGTTTTTAATTGTATTTGCTTTGTGCATTTTGTTCTTGTTATTTATCCCTGTGGAAAGTAAGGCTTATTTTGATGTGAATCTACTCAGCAACTGCATTATATTTTAGGATTAACTGATCTGCTCTCCCACATGACCCTCCTTGCTGGATCTGCCTGTTTGTTGTGCTCTCTCTAGTCTTTGAGTCACTTGGTGAGAATATTGGCCCCCTACTGAAATTTTGGTGTTCAACCAAATTCTCTTTCATAATTCCACCTTAAAGTGAGTTCATGTACTCAGAACCACTTACATGTTATGAAATCCATGTCTGGTTTTACCACATGACTCTGACTTTTAAAAGTGAGAGCATTGCATGGAAGGCATTGATAAGATGCTAAGATGTAAAAATTAATCTAGAATAAACACAGAAGATATGCAGCATTGTTTCTGCATAACAGAGGAATTCTGACAGCACTCCAGTAATGCAAACTGGAACACCAGGATCTCTAGGAATGCTCTTTTTATAACTGGATTGGACTTAGGCAAAGAAAGAGCACTGCTCATCTTCAGCACAAAGTTCTGGACAGTTCAGGGTGGAGGATCTGATCAGCAATAAAAGGCAAGGGCTTTCCATGGTAGCAGAGTTCCTTCTGGCATGTTTGTGTCCAAGTCAATGTTAGATGGCAGAGAAACTCTTCACAGCACAAGCTGGAAGATGGTTTGAAAGGAGTCCGAAGAAAAGCATTGTGAGCTTGGTGGCATAAGGTATATTACATTAAGCTGTTGTGGCAAAGATTTGAACAATTCATTCCAGACAAACCTTATCTCGCTACCAGTTCTTACTGTACCTCCCCTAATGCACACACAGATAAGTTCTTTCAACACTCAAAAAAAAGCACTTGGGGCAGAGAGTTCAAACGACTTTGTTCCCCATTCTTTGTCATGCTTATGATGGCATCTTACCACCCTCACATTTGCAAGTGTGTTCATTGTACTACCAGATGTACAAAGGGAAAAATATAAACAGTGGTGAGGTTGCCAAAATTAGGCTTCAGAGATGTTATAAGTGTCAGAAGTATCTCTAGCTATTTGTAATAAATCTGTCAGGGTGATTGTTTGGACTGGTTTTGACCATGTTGCTGAACAATGTGATTTTAAACAAGTATGTGGTGATGCTTTGCTTCAAGTCTTCCACTTTGAAAGTATCTTAAGACAAAGCTATAGTGCTGTGTTTGAGATTCACATTGCTTGGCAGTAGATTTTGGGGCAGCTGAGCAAATGAGGGTTATTCTTTCATTTCTGCACCAAGAGTATGTAATGGGCAGTGGTGTTATCCTTTTAAGCAGCAATACTGCATTTCTTCCTAACTTGGTTTTGAACAAGTTTCTTCATCTCCTATCCAGGTAGATGTTTGTATTGGTGTTCTGTACTATAATAATAGCTTGTACACTGTTCACAGGCTGTTACTGGGCATACCCTTTTTAAACCCATACCCAATGCACCCTGCAAATATTAACCTGCCTCTTACCCAAGCCCTCTCTTTCTCAATATGTGAGTTGACATTTGTCCAAGTGCTGTATAGAAAAGAGATGNAAAAAAAAAAAAAAAAAGAAGAAACTCTTTATTGCTGCTGAACATTAATTTGTTATTATTGGGACATAAATAACACACTTAATAAGAAATACCTAGTTGCTTGTCACTAGCCAGAGTAGCAGGTATTTCTCAAGACTGATACTGAATTTAAAAGAAAGCATATTTAAAAAAATTGCTCCACGGGCAAGGGAACAAGCGATGCCAATCACTGTAGAAGTGATTCTGCCAGCCATGAGAATAGTGCTCTGCTGTAGGTAGGAAGTCTCACCAAGCATGCAGTAGGGCTGTGGAGCTGGAGAGAAGCCTCCAGCAGAGTGCCTTACACAACTAGATCTACCGGAGCTTTGAGAGGAATTTCCATCTTCAGGCATGGCCTAACATCATACACATCTTTGCAATATAAATTTTCTCTTGCTTGCTATAATCCTTTTTTTTTAACCAGGTGATGCATATCAGTTTACATCATGACTTGGATGTATTTTATACCTCATTGATTTCTGCTGGGTCTTGATTGCAGTGGCACCTGACAAATTGAAGACAGGAGACTGTGTTAAAAGCAGAGTATTAGGACTGTAGAATTCAGGGAGAAGATAGTAAGTTTTTGCAATGGTCATTGTTTGAAGGAAGCACTTGGGAGGAACTGCAAGGAGTAATTTCCTCTGGTATCAGATTGCACGTGGGGAACAAGGAGGGGATGCATCCCTCTGGCCAGGGTCAGGGTGGGTAAACTGCATTTCTGTGCCTCATGGTATGAGTGGAAAACTAGCACATGGGAAAATTGCAAGAGAAATCCTGGCGATAGCTGCTATTGTTATACTGGTTCCCAGTTTGTTCCTAGACTCACACTGCTGGAGTTTCTTGGCAGCCTTCCATGGTGGCTGGTTCTTTGCAAGAGCCATGCTATCTAGAACAATGAAATAAATCACTAAACCATTTTGCAAATTGGAAGGTGGTCCACAAATTTGCTGCAAAGAACAGACATACAGGCACCTGTTTATGGGCTGGTGTGTGTCAGCATAGAAGGGCCAGCGCAGTCCACAGCCAGCCCTGACACCCTGACCCAACTGGCTGAGTTACTCTGCTTACATAGATACCCAGGGCTGTAGTTTTTCACCACCACTTTCTATGTTCTTAAGAACTGAAACAGTAGCAGGGACAAGATCATCCTTTGGTTATGTATCTTTTCTCTTTAAGAAGCTTAGGGAAGCTGATAGGATATAAAGAATGCTGGCTGTCAAATGTCATACTGGGTCCAAGAGACCTGAACAGTTCGCTTCTCTCATTTACAGCATGTGCTTTTACTCTGGACTGAGAAAAATTCTGGAGAAGTTTTGACTTAGGGATTATAAAGCTTTCTAAATGGAATAACTTATTTGGAAAATAAATGGCACCAATAAGGAAGTGTTCCAATTACTGGGCACAATTTCTATAGCTTTATTACAGCTTCTAAAATGGTATATTTAGGTATGTACTGATTTTCATTGATGTTTGTACATTTTTAGGCTATAGATGGATAATTCTATTTTAAACCAGTGTAGATGCTCACAGTTTCCGATAAAATAAGAAAGCCAACACCTTGTGGCTTGTGCTCCTGGTTTACTCCCTTACAACCATTTGAAGCCATACAGTAGCTCATTGAATAAACAGAAACTGGTGGATTGAAGTTGATCACAAAGATTGATAACTACACTGAAACTTGTATTTAAATGCTCTTTAGGGGGAAAGTACTCTGTAAATAGATTTTGTCTTTGAATAACTATCACTTTGCAAGTGAACAGTTATTTGAGTACTCTTAGTGAACTAAGCTTTATTTATTAGACTTCTTATGTGTATATAGAAGAATTTTATAGAGAGCTACTGCAGAAACTGAGTATGTTGTCTTCTGACATAACGTCTTCTAGAAATGATACTCACTCTGTTGCAATTATATTTAGCAGGTAAGCTGGCAGAACTGTATTCTTCTCCAAATTCCCCTTTCTTATACTGATAACATTTCTTGTAATTTTCAGCTCATTTTGGTTTCTTGTGCAATGATAAAGAGCCTCTTAGTGCACAGTGTGTAGATATGTCTGTTAATGTAATAAGTTACATTATATTCTCATGTGAAAGCAAACTCCTGTTGCATTGTTTCTCTCTTGCGTGCTCACAGCACTGTATCAAGTGTAGTTCACAAGCAAACAGAGGAGGTTGTGGGTGAGGAGCTTGGGAAACCTGTGATCCATTTCCGATTCCGCTGCTGATGCAGGCCAACAGAGTTCCTGCTTTCAAATTGAAATTGGGATTTGTCTTCCAAGGGAAATGGCAAGCTTTTACCAGCAGCAACAAATTCTACTCTAAGTATGGTCAAAATACTCCATTCTGTTAAACATTGCAGAGTACTTCAGGAACAGCAATTGTTCCTATAGCTGGGCTTGCATCTGCAAGTTTAGTTGCTCAGATCTCTGTGTGCTCACCTTTGGGCTGCATAGCCGACTGGTACCTGGGCCCATCAATTATTGAGAAGCTGAGGAACAGGCAGTGAGAAAAAGAAAACTGAAACTTTCCTGAGGGATGTTTTGGTTTCAGTTGAAATTGTTTCTATTTACAGAAATTTACAGAAAATTTTCTGCCACTTTGTTCATCAGCTTTCATAAATGTTGCACTTGTCACTTTCCAAAGCAGAATAATATTAAATTAAATTTAATATTTTTCTGTTTCTCAGTTGAGGTTTTGTTGGGGTTTTTTTGCCCTTTTTTTCCTTCATGTACAGTGTTAGCTAGCAAGCCTAGCGCTGACAAGGCAACTTGTCTGCTTTAATTGGTTTATATACTGAGAGAGTCCAAATTTCTGTGTAAAATGTGGTATCTTATATGTACCATGATTTTAACTGCATTGTATTCTTTTCTATAAAGCACTTTTTTTCTGGCCTGCTTTGTGATTCTGTTGTGCCACTTGGAACATAAAGTGAATAGAAAAGATCTTGCTTGAAACTGTTGATCTTTTTTGTCATTTCCATCTACACATAAGTTTTCATTACTATAGTCTATATATTGTTCAGTTTTGCATAGAGTGAAGGATACTAGGGTATATAATAAGATGATTCGTGTATCTGTTATAATAGGATGTTCTTTTCTCATTTTCCTTATGTATGTGTAATACATTTTAGGTATGGGAAAATTGTATCCACGAAGGCTATTTTGGATAAGACAACAAACAAATGCAAAGGTATGTACACTTGCCTTGATATTCATCTGAAAGTCGTAACTGCTTCTATAAAATACATTAATGTTGTATTTTAAGTGCTTGCTACCTTTTTTTTCCCTCTCTCTGTTCTTATTCCTAAACTAGCCTTATTCCTGCCCATGGTTGGTGTATTCAGTCCATTTGTCTCCAATGGAGCTGGCAGACAGCCTGTGTCAGTGGTGCAGCCAAACTGGAGTGAAGTTGACATGCACAGTGCTGGCTGGCAGTTCGCCTCTATTTTAAAAACAAAATTGGAGTTAAAAGCAGCTTTACCCCTTTTGCCTGGAGAAACTAGGGAAGCTTACAGAAGACCATTCAACTATACTAGGCATCTAAAAAATTATACGTTGTGGAAATAAGCTCCATTGATTAGAGCAGCTTAAAGCAGCACTTAATTACATGTTCCAGTACTCTAATTGTGTTTTGTATATGCTATTGAATGTATTGGAAGCAAAGAGAGGGTTCGTTTTCACCAAAGTAATTGCATCTGGAAAAAAAATTAGAACTCCTTTAAATAAACTGGATCCATCAGTTCACTGAATTTCATTGCTCATTGCATTTGCAGCGAGATCATATCCCAGCAGGTGCATGGTTGGATAAGGAGGGGTAGCAGACACTGAAATACCAGATTTCAGAGTTCCTTTTTTTACAATTAAGAGGATAATTTCTAAGCAAAGTAAATTATTAAGTCAGCTGATTTAGTGATGTTTATAAGCATAACGCCTGTGAATGAGCATAAAGCTGATAGGCAAAGGGAGGAGAGTTCATCATTAATTAAGCCACAGTTTTTGTGCAGAACTTGGAAGCAGTGCAAGGGCATATCTCCTCAGCTCCCCATCTTAAGAACTTAAAGGAGCACTGACATTTCAGAAAATGAAATTTCTAGAAATTTTTCCTAGCTTGTATGCAGGTGTCATTGTGACTAGGAAAGTCAAGATACCCTTTTCAATTATTTTAATTACTTAATGCCTGTGATTGCACTTCATTGATTTAGCCTGTCCATTCCGTCAGTTCCTGGAGTCTTCAGAAGTCCTGTCAGTGATACAGAAATTCTCACATTAATGGTGTAAGAGATTTAAGCTGATTTTTCCAATACAGAATTTAAATGTCATTGATGAAAACCAGTAGCTAACAGCCTGCTTTGACACCATACTGCAAGGTAAGACTCCAGGGAATCTTGCTTCATGTCACTGAAATTGTGATAGGAACATAAGTAGGCAGAATGCAGATATCTTACTGGAATTTAACCAAAAGATTGACAGCATCTCTGGCTTTTGCCAAAAAACACACCATGGCACTTAAAGTAACTGGAACAACAAGCAAGTGAGTTTATGTATCATCTAGAAGGTGGCAAAGCCAGCTTTGATGGCATGCTTGGTGTCAGTAACTTTGTATTACACCCTGCAGTGTGTCAGTGATAACCGAGGCTGCCATGAGTATGGAAAGCTAGTTTGGGGTATGGGAAGTTAGTCTTGCCTTGGCTGCGCAAGGCTTGATATGAACTAATTCACTTTGTTTCATGTCAGGATTTAACGATCCACAACACCACGTGTTACACAAAACAATATGCTGCTTTCTTCAGCTTCTTGGCAGGATAAGTAAACCTCCACTGATGTACAAGGCTGCTTGAGTTGTTTTTCCCAAGTTAAGAACTTTAAAGCTTGTTCAGTTACACAACCTTTTCTCAGTATAAATATATTTCTTCAAAATAGTATTATATTTTGAAGAAATATTTCCATTTTCTACTCCTCTAGAGGTGTTTTGTTGTTGTTGTTGTTGTTTTTTTCTTTTTTTTTTTTTTCTTTTAACCTAACCTGGGCATTGGAAAGGGATTTCATTAATACTTGGGCAGTTCAGTGGTGGAAAGGAAGGAGACTGAAAAATGCACAGTCAGGTTTGCAATAACATCTTGTGGAAGTAGCTTCTGAACTCTCATGGCCTTTTGGTGAGCTTGAGCATCCAATTCTCTGGTTACCTTAAAAATCCCAGCCTGTAAGGTCAGTGTCTGTTAAGGCCAAGGTATATTGCAGTTTGGACATCCTAGAATCCATTAGTTATATATTGTTGTTTAGAATAAGAAAAGAAGTTATTGCAGATGTAATTTGTTTGAAATTTGTTACAATGAACTTGTGGGTTATTTTAATATTTAAAGATTGCATTATATGGCATGGAAAATGCTTTCAGGACAATTTTTCACATTCTTGTTTCAGCAACAATGGGAAAAGTAATTTGTTTTTACTGAACCTGGGTTTTCACTCACTTTTTAAATTTAACTGTCTTTTTTTGTATATACAATGAGGTAACTAATTAACTAAAAATTGGATAGATATGTGTCTTTTAAACTAAATTCATCTCCCAGTTTTGAGAAAATGAAATATGACTTATTCATCATTTATTCAAATTGGATAAGAATTTAGTTTAGAAAAATTAACAGATGATGCTTTATTTAGTGATTTCTGTGAAATAAATTGCTGTTAGAAGATACATACCAGATAGCACAAAGCAAAGCACCATACTGCTTGTTAGCAATTTGGCCAAAATCCTGATAATTAAGTGGGCATGGAAATGGATTTGTTCCACTAGAGTAGATCCTCACCAGTTCAAGGTTCAAGAACTGTGCTAAGCTTGTTCTTTTTTGTTTTGTTTTGTTTTATTTTGGACTACATGAAGAACATAAGAGTTCAAATTGGTTTCCCTCTTGATCAACAAGAAAATTGCATTAAATAATAACTCTGCTAGTAGCACGGTTCTTTGATATGAAGTGTTTGATTATAAACTGGTTGCTCTCGTTAATTAAATGTTTTCTACTTCAGGTTACGGTTTTGTTGACTTTGACAGCCCAGCAGCTGCTCAGAAGGCAGTTTCTGCTCTAAAGGCCAGTGGAGTTCAGGCACAGATGGCAAAGGTGAGTTAAAATAACTGGCTAATTCCTGCAATGGGTTGTGAAGATGGACGTTAGCAGAACATGGGCAATGTGGAGTTTCAAGTTGCAGACCCTTTACAGAGAGCACAGTCCTCAAGCCATGTGGTATATTAAGGTAACAAAATGGAGGCTTTTGACTGCCATGACCCAGATCACATTAAATGATGAAATAAAGAATCATAGTATGTTAAATTCTCCAAACTGATCTGGTTGCATTTATTGATTTATTCATGATAATATTTTCCATCAGCTTAATCAAATGAAAGTTTAGCAATACCTTGTAACAACTACAGCGGGCTTAATGAGTTAGTTTACAGCACAAAGGTATGAAAGGTTTTATACATTGCCTGCTTGTTACTGATGTTAGCAACATTGCAGTTTGGGGATGAATTTTTAAGCACAGCATGGCAAAATTTAACCTTTGGACTTTGTTTCACACCTTCTGGTATTTTTTTTTCTATTAGTGTGAGTAAAATTTAAATCTGACCATTCAAGATAGAGGTCTTGAAATTCCTAACCATCTCTTTGACAATCTATTTCTGCATCAGGGCAAAACCAAGAATTATTAAAAAACAAAGAATTGAGATCTATCTTCTTTTCCTCTGATTTTTAATGATCCTTGTCTCGGAACCAGGTTATTAGAATTATGTGATCTTCAGAGCAGTGCTCTTTTGTCATAAATTTCCCAAATATATAAAATTAGGATGATACATTAGTAATGATTTCGTCATACACTCTTGTTGGGTCTATGGCCTGGTTCCAAAAGAGTGCCATAAACACCTCAACAAATTTATTAACTATAGAAAATATTACCAATATAATCTGTTGATACCTCTTAAAGGAATTTTTTTCATTTTCAAAATTATATTCTAAATAAAAAAAATAAAAATCTAGTAATTAACTAGTAATCTCAGAGGCTTTTTTATTAAAGTAGTCTGCTGCAGATCTAGTAAATCTTTTATAGTTATCCATTAGGTACAGATTTTTTTCAGATGAGATATTTTCCACAGCTTCTCAACTGAAGAGAACAGTTAAGCTAACAACATAAATGTCTTAGGATGGATTCCAGGGTAACAAAATGGAAACCATATGTTTCATACTTAATGCCTGTTTCATTACAGCAATGACACAAACATACATGCTCACGGGAAAACACTTGATTTTTTTTTTTTTCTGTTTATAAGGTTTTATGTACTTAATAAAGGCCTTTTAATTAATCTTTAGGTTTTAGGTAATCACTTTAAAATATATACCAGATTTTTCAAAGCCTTTGGCTACCATCTTATGGATATGATATCTAGGTAGGAGGGGCAAAAAGAGAATGTGAAGTCATGTAAATTCATTTTCCTAATGAGCTTTGATGTCTGATTTAATTGTCTTCTTGAGTAGATCAAGAAGCTGTAGTAATTAATTATAGTAATCTAATGAATAGTTTCTTATTTTTTTTCATGGTATATATTTCTGGCTCAAGTCCTCTGACAGTTGCAATATTGCTTTCTGTTAGCATTAATGAAAAAATGTGCATGAAAATACCCAACAGTTTTGACTGACTTTTCTGACATTGTGTCAAGCATTCTGACCTGTGGGAAGTCTGTAACTATAAAGTTTGAATTCCAGTGAAATTTGTTCTGCTTCTTAACACGGGGAGAGTATTTGAATTACTAAAGAGACCAACTCAAGGAAGAGTACTACAAAACAGTCACTAGGGACTATGAGTTTAGGTACTTTGAATTTTGTCCATTTCGAGCAATTAAATTTTTTTTTCCCTGGGCAGAGTTGCTCTTCATTTGTCTGAAAAATCATATCTCTACTTAGATGCTCCAAACTTGGAGTGGCCAGTCACAGTTGTTTTAACAAGATTAACAAATCAGACTCTTCACATGCAAGACACTATAAAAATTTGTGTTTGTGCATTTAGTATTTTATCCTTTTGCGTGTTACCACCTGTGCCATGAAGTGATGGTCTTGCAGTGAAACTGCTCGGGCTTAAACCTGAGTGTCACAGACAAAGATTTAGAGAACAGTTTCTTGGCTGTCTAGCCAATCAGTGTCCTTAGTGACCACTGCAGCTGCTTCAGTTTCAAAGAGGAAATACATGCCCGTTGGCAGGATTAATCCATGGATTTATCTGATGCTGCGATTACTCTGTGCTCAGGGTGTCAGGCAGCAGCACAGCTCCTCAGTATTCTCACCCACCTCCCAGACATGGTGGTGGTTCCTGACCCGCAGCAGCTGACAGGGGAGGAAAATGTTGTTGCTGAAGCCGCATTGTGACTCTGGCTGCCGTAAAACCTTCTTTACGGTGTCCTGCCATAGCTATATGTCAGAAGTTCATCTACAAATCCTAGTTTGGTGGAAGTGGTTCAGATTTGTATGTATTAAAATTTTTGTTGTTTGTTTTATAGAGATGACTTTGAATTGTAATTACATTATTTTTATTTTAAGTATAATAAATAATTAAATTACTACTGTTACTATTATAATTGCTGTTTGTGAGCTTTTCCTATCTGTGGCGTAAGATCATGCTGTACTTGGCAGTCTGCTTCCAAGATGATTTGGCATTAGAAAAATCTAATCCTACCTGATATGATTTTGCTACTGCTGAGCAGATCAGGAGGGCCTGGAGCCTGAAATATGGCTTGAGGCCAAATCCTGCCAAATATGTTCAACAAGAGTTGCTGTTGGTGGAGAAGTGGCCACCTCTCAGGAAATGTAGCAATGATGATGTTGGCAATGGAACCCCGTGTCAGTCCATGACTTATGAAACTTTGTGTCTTTAACTATTCTGCTCTTTCGGAGACCTGAATTTGGAATGCTTGACTAAGACAAAGCAGCCTGGGATGTGTTTTGCTTTGTGCTTGTTAACAGTATCTTCTGGTCACTGCTGAGACAGAAATGCCTCCTACAATTCCTTTTGGTCAGAAAATGTGGCTAAGAGCTTACATAAGATGATACTGCGTGGCCAGGGGATGGGAGTAGCTTTTGGATGGAAATTTAAAATTGGGTTAACAAGCTATTGTCCCTCTGCTCTCTTCTACTTGAGGATTGCTAGTGTTAAGTCCATCTTTTTCAGGGTACAAAACCAGTAGCTTCTCTCTTACTCAAGAGATAAGGTATGGAAAGAGCAGATACCTGTCTTGCAAGAGTACTGTTATTTCTAAGCTAGTCAGTAAGTGGTGTCTAATTTTTATTTTCATTAATTTTAATTTATTGAAATATCTTTTATTAGTTTATTGTTCTTGCTCCTAGAGGAGTACTTTCATTGTAAACCAGTAATAGTAAGTTCAAAAGCTGTGATTTTGCAGAGCTGTGCAGTCTTAGATAAGATTAATAGTAGTATTAGAAAGCTCTGACCATTTTTTTTTTAGAAAAGTTATGGTTGCTCTCAGTGATTTTTCTGAGAATTCTCTTCCCAGCACCCCACAGGTGAAAGTGAGATAACTCTAGCTTGCTACACTGTTCAGAGCAGACAGAACGTGACTTTGTACAGGAAAATAGATGCACAGAGAAAATCTACTGTATACTGGCATTTTGAATAGATATTTAAAAAACTGAGAATCTGTAAAGGATGTTTTAGAAATGATGAGATCCAAATACTAAGTAGATATGAGACACCTAAATTCTTATAGGCTTCTGACCTTGAGTTTAACATAAAGCATTTGAATAACTGCCCAGACCAAGTTCTGTCCCTTCAAATGTTATTAACTGAGTTTACCTGTAGTTAAGTGAAGCAACTATGTTTCAAACTGAAAGCTGACTTTATTTCTGATTCTTCTGGATGTAAACTGATGTGTAGATATAAAAGGTAAAAAAGAACTACTGAATAAGAATGGTTAATAAAACCCACAGTTCTTATCTTTCTATCTAGTAAACTTTAGCCAGTAAGAGAATCATTGTGTTTGCAGCCCCAGATAAAGTCAGCAAGAGAACATCTGTGTTATACTGACAGCAATGTAGAGCTGCACAAGCCAGCCAGAATAGCAATCTGGCTCTGGCAGCTCAGAGTTCATTGAGTGTTAAAAAACTCCCTTCCTCGTGTAACAGTGACAGTTGTACAACTACAACCATATTGTCCAGCTCATGGTAGGTTAACAGATTTCTGAGATAATATAGTGAAATCTATATCTACTTGTATCTACTAAAACTGTTCTACATATGGAATTACCACATTTTGCAAAGAGCTTGCAATGTACTTTAGGCATCACAAGAAAGATTAACGTACGTACCAGCATTCTCACAATTGAATTTCAACCATATGTTTAAAATTAGCATAGTGTCCTCTCTTTAAGATGATTTAGCTTTCCAAGTCCAACACAACTGCTGTAGACTCTGTGATCCTTTTCTTCCAGACTTTGTTGCTGGAGACTTTTTCTTGTTGTCTCCTCTATTCTCTCTATCCTCATGAGATTTTCTTCTGTATGTACAACTTTGCTATAAGATTGTCAATATAATTCATAACTTTAACAATTAATATTCATTATTTTCCAGCTTGTGTTTTCCTGATTTTTCTTTTTACTATGGAAGCACTTACCTTTAGTAACCATATACTACTTATAGAAACCATAAAAGTAGTCCGTGGACATGTAAGATTTCTGTGGTCAGTGAGACTTGTTAATTTGTGCCAAGGAATGTTGTTCCATGTACTAACATGCATTTCTGGGGGAAGACTCATTGCTTATCCATTCAGAGATTTCCCCAGAGTCAGACATTTTTAGGGCTTAGGACTTCATATTCCTAATGTTACAATTTCCTCCTTAAGATCTCCAATTCTGCTGACAATTAAGTGTGATCCTCCTTATATTGTATTAGCTCTCACATTTACAAATCACTAAATGTGTTCAGATATTTTAAGCTTGTGCAAGAAATTAAGACCATCTTAAGAATTTTTTCTTATTCAAATTTTGTCTGAAGGATTTCTGTGCTAACAATGTCAAGTATGTTGTCCCATCACACACTGAGTTCCACCATTCTTAAGATACAAT